AAAAAGAGGGCTATAGACTCGATATATAGACGTTCAATGGAAGCCGGTAAAGGCGATAAGTATTGCTTGTGATGAAAGGCAAGGGAGAATAAAAAAAGCTGTGCTCGACACAATAGCAAAAGGTCTCAATCAATTGGCTCGTGCTTCATTCGAATAATTCTCGACACTAACGTCCAAGCTCCTCGACTCGCGGCCCTATGGCCAACAACCACCTCCACGATACAACTCTTCCTGGCAGCTGGCCCTACGTTCACGACGCGGAGGAGCGACGCAGATGTTGGCTCTCAACGCCCATTCCTCACTAACTTACGGCTAAGCGTTGGTTACTTGTTTTGCTGGGCACTTGGCTTTAGAACGTACTGGCCGCCGATTACGAGTGTAATACTCATCTCCATATTACCGATGGTGAGCTCCACGCTTTAGAATTTAGCTTTACTTCCCGGAGTTCTAATTCCGCTTTTACTTATTTGCCCGACCCTCGTTATAAATGGCCACGCGTAAGCAAATTAAAGCCGCGTCACGCTTCGCGGAAATCGTGGGCTGTTCAGTGTCATCGGGCTAGATCAATAATTCGTGACGGATAGCAACCTATCGGTTTATCGCTTTTCAATTTGTGTAGGTTAACGTATAGTGAGGGGAAAGAGCGAAATGTTGGAGCAGCGGTGACCTTAATTTAAAAATGAAAATGTGGTCGTATAAGGTCGATTAAAAAATGATAGAAAGTGCACGAGTGATGATTATTAAGCGCTTACGATTATTTCAGCGGCTGTATGATGGAGCTCTCTTGCCTAGAAGATATGTGACGTATATATTATTTTTATACTAGCTATAATTAATCAATCTAGGTGATTAACTTTCGGTAAAACCTTTTAGTTTTCTTCTGAACCTTTTTCAAGTTTTCAAAATACGGTTAATTATTGTTTAAGCTTAGTTACGAGGACAGTTATTTCCGGACAGTTTTTTTTTACAATATTTCAACATATTTAAGCAAATTAAGTAATAGCGATTATAGAAACAGTGACAGCCTCTTCTTATACGTAACATACAAAAATGTTTAATTGAACGTATCACGGCTTACTAAAATGCTTCTCAAGGTATGTCGACTAGTCGGTGCCGCGAATTACATAATCGTTAAAGTACATATGGAAAACATTAGGAGAATAAATACTAGAGTGAAAGGGGCCATGGCATGTATGAATTTATGGAGAGCGGATGGGAATGGAATATGGAAATTACAAAGGACGAAAATAATTGCGAATTGAAAAAGAGGTGGTAGGTGAAGAGGAAAGAATGAAAGAATGAAGCTTTGTACTAGAGCACAGAGGAGAATAAGTGAAAGTGATGAAACAGGAGGGACTCGAGTGAATAAAAAAGGAAGAAAAAAAGCGATTAGTACTTGATTGTAGTAAATTGTAGCATAAAAGGGTAATTAATATGAATTTGAAAGGGAATTCATATATCAAGTAAACATAACTTTTATTTATGTTATATATTTTTTTTAATGCACTACAGTTAACCATATCGTACTTCAAATGTGAATAAATCCGATACGCAAATAAAAGGCAAGACATTAAGCACTGATTGTATTAATGGTTAATTAGCACAATGAAAATTTTCGTTATAAAGTATGCATTTAAATGTATTAACTTGTATGAAATACAAGTAAATAAAGTGAATAGATTCTGTATTAGCTCGAGTTTATTATGCTTTAATTTAGTGTGTATATAGAGAGTAGAGATGAACGCGTTGTTTGACGGCGTGTAGTTGGGTTTTTATCGATGGATAAAAAAAGGAACGCTGTGGTGGGAGAAGGAGGAGGCAGAAAATCAAGCGTAGCCTCGTTTTGCCTCGTAGATTGCAATCGATTGCCCGATGAAGAGCATAGTGATGCATGATTAAAGAGCGTTTATGTGTAAAGCCAATTACGCAGCAGCAGTGCGCTCACTCGGAACGTCTCACTGTTCTACTCCATTTGCGATTTTGTGATTTTCAGAGCCCTCTTTTTAACTTGGGAAAGCTCGTAATTAACGTGAGGTTTCTAGATTTTATTGCGGTATTTCGTTACAGCGTTCGATAAAGTGCATATGTGCGATAGAAAATACTTCGGAAATTAGACACCTAGATTATATAAATAACTATCATGCCAGACATTAATATGGATATTTATTTTAATTGACAGTATCATGAATTATTCTTAAAAATCCTATGTATTATTGTCACGAAATTTACAATTTTACGATACACTTTACCTTAAGAATATTATAATCGTCACCTACGTAGAAGACCATCGAGGATTCTAATGTTCAGTTTGATCAAATAGAGCATAGAAAACTAACAATGTAAAAGTAAATATCTATGTTGCTATTGTATAACATATAACTCACCAAACTATGCAAACAGTTTTACGTGGGCATTGAATTAATAATTCTACATTATCAAATCTGTAAGTTATTACATCTCATTGGAACATATAAACTCGGAATCCACTGTACACAAATGAATGAGGCACATAGCCGAAAGCTGGGCTTAAATATGTTAGATTAATGATTAATGCAGTCGGTCCGTTAACTTTCAGCCCTCTTTAAGAAAAGACAACCGCGGTGGAATCATTGGCGCGAGAAATTCGAAGACGGGAAAGTGGCCGTCGTCGCTGAGCTTCGGGCCCGCGAGGAAAAAAGAAAACGAGAGTCGGGGCGACAAGCAGGCGCTTGCCTTCAGGATTCTCGATCGTAGGCTCTCTGTCCTGAGGCGAAGTATAAATAAAGCATACACAGTATTTTGGGGGAGGACGATATATACAGATACGGCAGGCTGGCACGATTGAAGAAGCGGGACGACCCAACGCGCACGCGAATCAGAGAGAGAGAGAGCAGGAACGTGAAGGGAGAGAGAGAGAGAGAGAGAGAGAGAGAGAGAGAGAGAGAGAGCGATGGGTGAGGGAGGGTGAGAGGGGAGAGAGCCTGTATGTGGGTATGCGCATGCATGCTATGAGGGCGAAGAGACGTGGCAAATGAAAAATGCCGAGACGGACGATCAATGTAAATATATTCATGACGTGGGGTGGCGCGCGTGGTCGCGGGTTCTATGGGAGCAGAGCCGCCAACGCGGCGTACGGACTTTTATAGACGAGAGAAAAAAAAGGAGAAAAAGAAGGAGGTAGAGGAGGACACACTTGGACGGCTCATAATTCACTCTTTGGCAGTTCATTACAATTTAAAAAAGGCCTTTGTCAGCGTATTACCCCCGTGTATTTTTTCACACTGTCCCGAGCGCGGAGGCACTTCGTGCGGTGAACAGATATTTTTTCACGGGGTGTCAAGCTGTCAGTTGTGAAGGATTCTTTATTTCACCGAAATATTGATGCATCGATGACTTTTTTGAGATGTCGCGCCGTAACTCTTTGAATGACGAGGTGAATGTCATTTGTAAACGAGTCACCAGCCTTTTTTCTCTCGGAGCTCGTTAAAGATCTCATCGGTAACGGAGTTTGTGAGTTTTGTCGACCAATAACTTTTATGTCCTTCTCTGTGACGGAATTGATATTGACTTTGTATTCCAAGAGTAAGACAACTTTGCAATAAACATATTTGTCTTTGGAAAATCACATCTGACCGACACTTTCAAATAGGCCTGATTCTGTTAAAGCTTTATTCCATTACTCTGAATTTGCGAAGTTTGGATTTCTATGGCGCTCCAACAATATAATGTTCAAGTTTAAACATTTTGAAATACGTCATTTTAAAGTATCGTCAATGAATTGAATTTATGTACGTAATCGTTCACAAATAATTGAAATTTAAAAAAAAAACAATTTATAAAACAAATAATAAGTACATATTTGTTAGAAAGACGAATGATGCAAATCTAAAGTGAATAATAGTACAGTCAAAGAACATTATATATGCATTTTTTTTTGTTCATTCATAAACTGTGAAAATCAATTATGAAACTGAAAATCAATCAAATTCTAACTTCTACTAAATTGGCTATAGATAATTTATGATTTCCCAATTAATGACAGAAATCACTTGTCTTCAATTCATTCGCTAGTTTATAGTTTCATTCCAAATTATAAAAATATACATATATATTCTTAAATTTACCCTTATTAGGTTCATAAATTATTAAAAAACGCAGATTTATTATAAATACTATGATAATTAGCAAAATTAAGAAATTATTGTCTTTTGAACAGTTAGTCGTCATAAACGATGGATATCTTATGTCAGTTAAGGTAGAATTGTAATCCAATAAAATGTATTACCTGTATTTGAGATCCCTATATATATTTAAGATAGGCATTTCGCGAGTGAATCTTCGTCCACATCTCGGAGGAAAATGCTGTACGAGCTAATCGCAGACGAAAGTGCACCGAAAACGTGCTGAATAACGAAACAAAGCGTAGAACTAATAAACATCTCGAGAGTCGTCTGTTTCCTCACCGTCCACTAAAATGTCCCAGAGGATGGGCTTGAGCTCGTTTCGATGAAAATATAGCGGTGCGTGACGCGTGGACCCGGAGGCAAAAATTCGCCGGGATATGCAGCCGAACAAATCGCCACTGCCTCTGCGTGGCATGATGGTCGTGCAAGAAGATACAGAAACGGAGTGAGAGTGGGAGAGAGTGAGATAGAAAGAGAAGGTGGAATAGAAGATGCGGGTGGAGGAAAATGCAACGGCTGGCGGCGACCAACTTCCCCAGGGACAGCCCTGGGACGAAATTGATATGTATTCCATGCTGCCTCCAATCTATCGCCGGGGTCAAGCAGGCGGAATTTCAAGTGCCGTACATTTACGAGATCCAGACATCTATTTCATACCTATATTCATGTGTAAGTAGTTTCGTGCATGTGCTAGTGCAGGTACAGGAATCGTATTCTATCAGGCTCGCATTGTATCCGCTTAAAATTTATGATTTCGAGTACTTTCTTTCTTATTTTCTTTTGGCCTGGTAAGGGAACTACTGAAGTATCGAGTCAGCGATATTGTAACTAACTGTGCTATCTGTCCATGTTCGGTCCCTTACAAAATTTGTACGATGTAGGCTCATCGGAAATCTGTGCTTTCAAAATTCGTATCATATCATCTGTAAATTTTGAGAGTTCTATTATTTAAATAATTAACTGTATAATAACATGAAAAATTCCTAACCAAGAAATAAATATTGTGCACATATATTTTTTTCTTTTGATAGAATTGCTGTTGAAATATTATTAATGCTCAATTGTACCTATTCTTCTTCACGCTATTATCAACTGTAATTTATTAAATTATATTTTAATCAATTTAAAATTAAATGAAAATAATTAGCCTCTAGACGTTGGTAGAACAATAAAAATAAATATTCTGAATAATTCCTTAGAGAGTTCGGCTCAAGATACAAACAAAAGGATATTGGGCATCTAATACGAAACATTTGTCCATTTAAATGAAAAATACTTATATTTTTGCCGATTTTAAAGGTTACGAGCACATAAAATTGGTCATCTCATATTTGGGTGTACGGGTCGACAAGCGCTTTTCAATCATCTACAGAATGGTATTGGTCAATGTACGGAAATTGAATTCTGTCCCTCGAGACTTTCATAAGTTATAATATGAACATTGTCGTGGATTATGTTAAACGTTCACATGCACTCGCTTGTTTAATCATTTATTTCGACTTCCGGGCTAACTGAGCAATTTATATATTTGGAATATGGATGATAAATAAAATCCTTACCATGTGGCACCCATCCGTGACGGCAATTCTCGCAGCAACGAAGGTGACGTTTTCCCGGCGTGAACGATTCGCACGTACAGCCGGTAACTGTACATCTTATTGACTGAAATAAACAATATAAATTACTTCGATAGCTGTAATTCATTAATAATAACAAACTATAATTTTGAAACTCATTTAATATGGAAGGCAAGGCTGCTTTGTGTCAAGATGTTTGGTCGATTATTTGTATTATTTGAATATTGCTTTATCCAACGATATAAAAACATTCTCGCTACCTCGATAAATATAACTAAAATGCGAAAACTCCCCGTAATATCTTCTTTGCTTAAAAAATAGCCTTCTTACCTTAGCATTGCCCATAAAAGTCCACCCTACCACGTATTTTCTGTTTAAAATTATCATCGAAAACGAAAACAGTGGCGCCTATGTCTTCAGGCCAGTTAGGATACGATAATGAAGGGGGTTGCAATATTTCGAGTGACCGTTTGGCGTAACGCAACCCTAGAGGCGGGTATGAGAAGGGTGAAAAGAAAAAGCAGGATCGCCGGATTTTTAAGGAACCGTGAATACTTTCACCCTCGCATAGAAATTAAGCCTCTGGGACTGTTAGCAGCCTTCGATTTTATACTGAAAGTATACGATGATATTCGTCGAGTTCTCGTAAACAAAAGAGAAAAAGTCGAAAGGCATGAAGTCACTTGTTTTCTGCACTCTCAGCTGCACGTGGTCATAATAAGCTTAAACGTTAAATGACGAAGTCTTATACATCGGCCCAATAACAATATCTGTTTAATAAGATTGTTTTAGAAATAAGTACACTTTGGCAAGTTCATAATTAAGAGATTAAAAGTATCACGTACACGTACATAATGCGTATACGTCGATGATAAGCTTCTTTTTGTTTTTTAATTGCTTCAATTTATCTTGTAAACTTATGCAATTACTTGAAAGAGTGAAAAATCGTGATTCTTAACTTTTTAATTACAGTATAATACAATTCGGTTTATATATTAATATTTTTGCAGACATCACGGTTTCATATATAATAAAATAATTATTATTTTATTATATAATTTTAGAGAATAAAATCTGACGAGAAATAAGCACTATTTAACTTTTATATAACTCACTATGTGTACGATAGGAAAACACTTGGGAAACAACATCATATTTATAGGAATGAAATTTCGCTAAACTCATATCATCTAATGAATAAAGTAAAGCTTGTAAATAAACTAAATTGAAAATCATTTCATAAGATGTTTGGGGAATATAATTAACGGCCGTCCACAAAGAGGCATTAAACGAAGAAAATCCGAGGTTGTGAATGGAGGTTCATTACAGGAAGACACGAAAAAATTTCGAGTGACTTGCCGTTTCGATCTCGCGCGGCAACGCCATAATGAATTTCGTCATCTTCTACACGATATAATTTGCTCTCTTGAAAAGAGTGAGGCCACGACTACGAAAAAGTGTAGACAGTACAAAGAGGTCAGGACGGCGTCTATCCAGCCTCAAAAGGCTGAAGGTGTGCGTAGTCGTGCAATCCTAGCCATGAGGCAGGGGGTAGGAGCCTGTTATAGCCTTGTTGTAAGGCGCGGCGTGTGCCGTTAATATAAAGACAAATGAATCGGCGCACGTTCGCGACCCTCCTACGCCATGTGTCTTTATATACGGGCGTATGACTTGCGCTGCCGGCTAAAGTACTGTAGCGCTGATTTTCCGTTGCGCGGCCCCGTGCATTAGATAATGCGCGTCTCGAAAACTTTCCTCGTATTTCTTCCTGCCACTGAAGATTATGAGGCAAAAATAAATGGCTTTATAACAATAATAAACATAATACCTCATTCGTATCGCTATAATTTATTCGTAATGGAAACGATCGTTGATAATGACAATGTGTGCAAACGCTTTTTTACATCTTTGTTTTTGCTTTTTATAACCAAGTTATGAATCCGAGATTTCAGTCGATAGAGTTTAACCATTATTTAAGATGTTGATTAGAAAGTCTACGTGTGAGCATCAAATTTATCGTTGTATCGATAAATTACCCACTAGAAGAACAAATAAATAGCGTGGAAAGCGCGACTATTACTCTCCATGTAATCGCCTGAAATTTGAAATACTATTGCCTACATTTATAACTTTTTTTTTAACTTTGTACATATCACTGTGCATTATACTTATAATTGGATTAGCATTTTTATTTAATATAATGAGTACTAAGTGAAAATGTTGTTTTTAGCTATCGCCTGCTTTCTCTCTTATGGAAAGTATTAACATTTAGTAATTAACATTTATTATGCTAAAATGACGATATTTTTTTATAGTTATTTAAATTATAAACTCAGTACACTTGGTGACTTCCTAAAAACTTGATACAAATTTGACGAAACAGAAATGAGACTATATATGCACATAAGAAATAGCCTGTTCTTTGTAAGGAACCGGTTCCTGTGAACGAGAACTGTGATTCTTATTTACTTTACACAAACTTCCCGACAAATTGAAATTACATTAGCATTATGTATACAAGTAATGACATAGAAATTAATTGGTTCAAATGAACAAGTAAAGGCTTTGATAAAAATTCGAAATTATTTAAATTATCACAATAATGGAAGAAAACGAATAATGTTGAATTTAATCGGGTATGCATTTTATGATACGTTAAATTGATATACAGAGCTAGCAGTACTGCAAATCTAAATATATAAGATTATAAATGCAATAAAAATTTACATGTCTGGCTTCATTGACAGTCAGTCACTATGCTTTCTCACGTAGAGACATTAATGTTTTGATAATAATTAATCTCGACATGGAAGACAGGCTCGTATCGAAAAACATTATCGGCCTCGTAATGTCCCGGTATGTACATATAAAGGCCGTGACTGCAATAACTCACTAATGCGCGTTATTAAGTACTGCTTAAGACTTATGAATAAAGTAATATAAAGACAAATGAAGCGAGGCTCGCTCACGACGACCCCCGTGGCCATGTGTCTCTATATAGGCGACTGTTATTTCGCAGAGCCACCGCGAGAAAAAGCGTCGGGGCGACGACGCACGCGGTAAAACTTTCAACCTGCCGACGCGGCTGCCGACGACAAAACTTTCCCCACTCGTCGACCACCAAAATTTTATTAACTCGGCGCGCGGCGCGCGTTATTTATGCGTCGTCGAGGAGCGACAGATTATAAAACGATGCTGGGGCTGCCTTTAAAAGAAAAGACGGTAACCGGTAAAAAATAAAGAGAGTAGATAGTACGTATGTATATAACGAGAAGGTAGAGATACTGAGCGAGAGAAAAGGAGAAAGGGAGAAAGAGAGAGACACATGCAGGGGGGGGGGGGGAGTTTTAAGACGCTTCTTGCGCGAATACTTTTATGATTTTTTCACGGCCCTGCTCTGTAAGGATTCCGCGAGTAGTGCCTATGCGTATTATTAAAACTCGGCCTCCTTTCGCACGCGCTCCCTCTGTTC